AATATATTTCGCCTGGGGTTTTGCGCCCCCCCACCACCAGCGTGGACGGGGGCGGGCCGAGGGGCGTTGCGGAGGGGACCGGGGATATCTCCGGGGAGGTTGCTTTCAAGGGCGACGCCGGGGGGGATAGCGAAAACGAGCCCGGTGATGCGGGTAGTGCGGGGGGTAAAAGCCCCCCCAAGGTGGCGCCCAAGGTGGCCGCAAATCCCGCCGGGGGGGGGGGGGGGGGGAGGCGGGGGTGGCACTCACGATTCTGCGGGCCACAAAGACGCCCTTCAAAAGATCCTCCGCTTCTCTGGAAAGTTCCTCCGCCGCCTCGGCCACCTTCGGCATCGCTCGGTCCCTCCCGGCGGGCGGCTGCGCCTGATGTTCGTTCGTTGGTTCGTTCGAAGAGACAGAAGACACCGACCGCATCGTATGACATGACGCACGAGGCACAACGCACGGACGAAGATACAACCTCTAACGCAGAACAACCTAAAAAACAACAACATGGTAGCGGTCACTGATGATGCGGTACAAAAAACAATCGGAAAAAGTCACGAACGGCAACAAATTCTCACGTCCTGAAAGGATCACAACAGCAGCACCATCCAGACGGGTGCATGGGGCGTTCAGCGTCGGTGGTGCCAAGCTTTGCCTCGCTGGAACCATAGGACATGGAGCCGTCCGCTTGCACGACTACGCCGCCGATGCCATCTTACCACACGCATCACACACATACAAACGCATGCCACACCGGTGCACGCCGACAAAAAAACTGCGAAGGCGCCGAAAGCCTTGTTTTTGTTTTGTTTCCAAAATACGATTTGTGCACTACTATTACTATAATAGGGGTTCGTGGCAACACCCCGTTTCAGGCACTGTGCCGAGGAACAACATGAACGTTCCCAGTTACGCCCCGAGGTCCCAAAACGAAAGCACCGCGCTGGTGTACCTGCCGCACAGAAGTGTCCCCGCCCTCACCGCCACCGCCTCCGCTAGAGCGCTCCGAAACGGCCGCGCCGGCGCCGCCGGCGCCGCCGCTGTGGTAGGCGATCGCATTTGAGAACACTTTCCGGACATCGGACGCGAAGTCTCGGAAGGTGTCGTACGAGGGTACGGAGTCACGGGGCCCCCGCGAGCACGCTCGCCTGCTCGTCGTCGCGGAAAAAAAAAAAAAACGCGCAAGAAAAAAACGGAAGATCTAGTTCAAGGTGTCGCACGCGGGTAGGGAGTTCACGCCCCCCCCCGCCCCCAAGACGCTCGCCCGTTTGGTATCGAAAAAAGAACGAAAAGCCCGTTTCTTCTAGTGTCAGAGAACAGCGACGCCAAGAGCAGATTTAACGAGAAGGGGAAATGCCACGAGACTTGCTCAAGTCGTGGACCATCAGCGCCTACTAGGAACGTCCAGCCATGGGCGACAGGCAGCAGGCTACGCCTTCAAACACGATAGAAGCAGCTGGTCAACCAGCCGCACGACCAAGTAAAATAAACCGTACGCCAACCAGCGGCGGCTTTCTTCCGCAACAGAGTAGTAGCGGTCCCTGTATAAGGCCTGCCAAAACCTTTCGCACGATGCGGCATCAATAAACGGACCGTTACCGCTGTATGAAGCGATGCAGCGGTTCTCTCTTGCCTTGCGATGGTCTGGAGGTCGATCGGCTCACCGACCACGGCGACGTAGTCCGGCATGCCTAGTTCCTGCAAACGTCACCACAGAGCGAGGACGAGCAACCAGTAAGCACGATGCCGCCGGCGACATGACAAAGCAATTCTAGTCTGCAGGCCCTCTCTGCCCCTACAGCACGTCTTTGTACTAGCAAGTACGGCAACAGGTGAACAGATCGCGTCGGCTGTTAGCTTTTTATAGCTTGGAGGAACTGCTGTCCAGTGCTGAAATTTTCGATTGTACGGGAACCGAGGCCTCAGCTCATACGTACGCCAGTGGCACAGGCAACCACCCTCGTCCAAACACGAGGTAAACGGCATCGCTCATACCGTAGGTTGCATGACACAAGACGCCACTCTCCCTGGACCGATTTTCAAAGCCCGATTGCTCCACGAAGAAATAGATGTGTCAATCAAATGATACGTTTTCGGAAAGTTCTCGCCAAGACGGTTCCAACGCCTCCCGCCACTTTCGCAACCGCCACTAGACTTTTGCTGGAGAGCAACCGAGAGGTTCGGCAAGGGTGTATTGTAACGACTCTTGACACCCAAGCGGCATCAAAACCAGAGGGATACCGCACGACACGGACGCGGTGCCATACCTCAAGAGTCTCCTCGTCCAGCACACGGCTGAACATTCCCGCGCGGTCGCTGATCTGCAAGGCCCGAACCACCTTCATCATGGCCCCCTGTCGCTCCAAGCTGCCCCAATTTCGCCACTGCTCCTCGGCGCTAACGCCGCCCGATCTCGTGCTCGAGGAAACGCCAAGAGGGAGTGGGACCGCACCTGCCACACATCAAACAATATAGCGGCGTTTGCATAATAGAGGGGGCGGTGTGGGATGGCCCCTAGGTCAACAACAGCCAAAACTCGCGCCTCGCACTTCTATAGAAACCCCGAGAGGGAGCGCGCCGTTAGGCAAGGCTTGGTCTACAGCACGCAGGAAGAGGCCCCGGGCGGTGGTTCCAGCTATTCGGAGGCACAGCATTCGATTCGAAGTAGCAGGCAGGGTCTCTCGACGGCATGTCTTTAGATTTGCGGCATTTTGTGACTTGCGCGGCAGGCGCGTGGGGGAAAAAAGCGTGGGATGTTTCCGTACACTAGGCGGCAGGGGTGCAAAACCCCTCTGCATCAACACTGCGCAAATACATACAAGTAGCTCCTTCCTAACAAGTCTTAACCCAGGCTGAAAATAGTCAAGACCCACAAAAAGCGTTTTTCGCGGACACAGACCACTCGTGAGAGGGCCGAACCACTCAACACGCGCACGAGGCCTCGACAGGGTGATCCGATTTTTGTCCGACATCCCGATGGGTACGTGTTGTCACCGACTTGCCACCACGAAAGCAAGCTATCGCAAATACCGATGCCTTGGTTACACCACCAGTAACAGTCCCCACCTGGCAGCAGGCCTCTCGTCCGTAGGAGCAGCGCCAGCACCGTGATGGTCTTGCCCAGCCCAGGCTCGTCGCACAGCATCCCCCCCCTAACCTCCGAACACGGGGCGGGCGCGCTCGGCCACACCATGCCATCCACCACGTTAATCCAAAGCCTGCCGCTCGCAGTCGGCGACGGCAGCGATACATCGGGCCTCGCTCCCTTCTCCCAGCCCCCCCCCCCGCTAGCAACTCCGATATTACTGCCCTCGGGTACGGAGGAGTTCTCTCTGCCCCCCGCGGGGAGTACTGCTGCTATGTCAACGGGCACGAACTCGGGGTGAGGGCGCGCGGCTCGTCCGCGCTCTCGGTGCCGCATCCATCTTAGCCCCTGGGGAACATCGAAAGGGAGCCGAATTACGCAGACTTTCAGTGTTGAAACAACTTTAGGAACGTCGTGGCGGAGAGTTAAAATATGAGCCTCTAAACAGTCGTACGTGGGCACTTCCAACGTCTTACCCAAGGATGGTTGTAAAGGACCGACCATCACCCCCCCCCCGATTCGTGCGAAATGGAGACAGTACAAAATAGCCGACTTTGAATCCATCTGGTGGTGCAACACACAACCTTTCGTCCGCGCCCATGTGGGGTTGGGCAGCCCCCCCCCCCCCCCCCCCCCCCCCTGTCAAAAAAAAAAAAACACCCCGGGGGCGGACAAAAAAAAAGCCCCCACAATTTGCCCCCCCCCTTTTTTTTTGG